TACCGCACATTTTCAAATCTTCTCCAAGCCTAAAGTCCTTTAAGATATCCATCTCTACATATCTGAAAACAGAATGCACCTGTCACGGTTGATTATATATTTCCCACCTGTTCTATGTTGAAATTTGTATGTATTGTGTATTAATATTGTTTTTGTATTTTATTTTACCCTATTGTATCAATGCAATGTTTTGTGGACCCAGGACATACTTGAAAATGAGAGAAATCTCAATGTATCCTTCCTGGTAAAATATTTTATAAATAAATAAATAAAGCGTCAAGGGAGATGTAATCAACATCTGGAGTGCCGAAGTTTGCCTACCCCTGGTGTATAGGATACACTGCTCCCTTGTGTTTCTTCTCATGAGGCTTATAACTGCAGTGATTGGCAAAAATAACTGCAGCTTCAAACTAGAGATGATACACCAGAAGTGTTCCCTATTGTTCAATATCAGATCTGTCCATCTTCTGTATGCAGCTAGTACCTCACTTCTCCCCTTCAAAGAATTCAACTTTATTTACAGTTATGTGTATAAACAGAGAGTCAAAGTATGTCTTCTATCAGCTCCACTGAGTTCAGAGAATATAGAGAATAAATTATGTAGCTTTTGAAGTCATAATTGTATCAACTCTGCTGGATAGAGGGTTATGGGATAAGATCATACTATAAAGACTTGAATTTTTGGCACCTGATCGGTGAAGCCTCTGTGGAGATTAATTCCTACTATATTAAAGGCCTAGGTATATCTCAAAATGTATTAGGCCTCTCTCTCCTCATTGCAACTTGCAGTAATTTTTTTTAATTATGGAGTTAATTAACTTAACAGACTGAATGCCAACTCTCATTTTACTATCCTACTTTGCTCCTTGAATGAGAGTTTGTGTATGTGGGTATGAATTATATCAGTTTCCAGTGGATGGGTATTTCATTTTTGCACAAAACTTGTCATTTACAATATATAGAGCTAAGCAACAGTGAATGTAGTGTTGCAAAGGTCTTTGTAACATCACATGTAAAAGGTTGTCGATGCTTTAATATAACCATGTAAATTAATTAAGCTTTTAGAAAAAAAACTAAAACTTTTGATCATTTGAGATCTGCACCAAATTCACAAATAAAGAAGCTTGGAGTTTATAGGTTTATGACTATGAATGTGTGTCATGTATAATTGCATTTTCAGTAGTCACAGTCTGATGCTGAAATCAATTAAATACAGCAGGGATGTGACTTTTCCCAGCTAGCTTTGCCTTGAAGTATCAGTGGTGTTCCAAATGAATAGAGACAATGTTTTAATTTATTTTATAGGGTTTGATAGCTGTCATTTAGAAAATAATATCTGCTCTGTGGAAATCAGTCACTTCAGAATATGAAACTTTTTATCATGTATCATAATTAAATTAAGTAGTTTACAATGTCAGACTTCCAAACTCACTAATTACTTACAGTCGTTGACCGTAAGAGCAAACGGTACTCTCTCAGAGTTCCAGATAATAATCAGGATCATGCCACTGACATTGAAAATAAATCTACTTTTGGCAATCAATGGATGTGAATAACGAAAAGTAAAAAAAAACATAACTGAGATAATGTTCCAGGTTTTTTTATGCTACTACAGACATTTTACATTAATTCATCTCAGCTTAGTGGTTATTACATATGTCATATTAAATGGTTGGATCCTTATCTGCTTCTCCCATGCAGGCAGCAATGGTTCTTTTCAATCTTTTATATACAAGTTCTTTCTGCCTTAACTATATCAGTCTTCATTTGCCTAACAAAGTCAGCTGTATTACCAATAATGCCAGCAAATTCCTTACATATAGCTATATTCAGGATATTTCCCCATTTATTCATATTTTTGGTGCAGTTTATATATCAATGTGACAAAATATTTTTTGATATATGCTTATTTGCCAATATTTAAAGATTACAAGATATCTAATAATTCTTATCACCTACTGACTTCTGCAAGGGGTGAATGAATTTCTAAAACTAAATTTAGAGAATTAAATTTTTTTGTAAAATTTCTTTTTTTTTTGTAATTCTTTATTTTCAATTTTCATTTGGCAGAGTTGACAAGCATATGAGTATCATACAAGGATAGTACATGCATGGGCTTATGCAAAAGCCACAATTCAAACAATTCGTCAGTACATGATGATACAAAAGGGTTTGTAGCGAACGAGAATCTGTTTGGTAGTACGTTTACATATTTTTGGTGAGCAGTTCTGTTCCGCCAAGTTTTTATACAATAGAACAATAGAACAATTAAACATTTAAGTAAAGGTAAGCAAGTTTGGATGCGACTGTAAGTGGCAATGGTGCCGCCATAGGTTCAATAATTAAAGGTTAAAAAAATAAATAAAGGGAAATGGAAAAATGTAATTATATTAGATTGTAGGTAACGTTAGGGATGAGGTGTGGTGGGGAGGCTCCAGAGATTGGGGTCTTCCCTAGGGTTGTGGGGTAAGGGTGGGGGGGGTGTTTAGGCGTTCCTGACCCTTGAGGGGTGTTGTCTCTTGGTGTTATGTGTGTATATCCACTCTTCTGTCGTGGTCTTGGTTGAGTTGTGTGATTATGTGTCCTTCGACTTGGTTGGTGGCCTGTTTGATCATTCTATTGTCGGGTTTATCCTTCCTGTGTGGTGTGTTGTAGGGGTTGGGTTCAGGTTGGGGCTTTGTAGGGGGGGGGTGGCTTTGGGTTGGTGTGTGAGACCTGGCATTCGGCCTTGATTTCCTTGGGGACCTAGTTTCTTATGTGGCTGTGGTGGGTTCCATAAGCCAAATGTCCCATATTTTGTTGCAATGTGTGGTAGTGTCGTGAATGAGTGCTGATAAGCTATCCATCGACCTGGCTTCATTCATTTTTTTTTGGATGTCGGTGATTGATGGGACTGTGGGTGCGCCCCAGTGGGTGGCTATAGCTCTTCTAGTGGCTAAGGCTAGTTTGGCTAGTAGTTTGTTTTGGGCTCGTGGAGTGTTTTCTAGCGGTTTGGAAAGTAGCCATAGCCATGGATCCCTTGGGATGGGGTTGTGGAAGACTCTGGAGGCCAGAGTCACTATGTCTGTCCAAATTTGTGTGATGTGTGGGCATTCCCACCATAGGTGGTAGTATGTCCCTTTCTGGCCGCATCCTTTCCAGCATCTATCTGACGTGGAAAGTCCCATTTGCTTGAGTTTTAGCGGGGTGATGTACCAGCGCATGAGGGTTTTGTATGCCTGTTCTTTGTGGGTTACGCATATCGTCACTGTTGCTGTGGCTTCCCAAATTTTTGCCCAATCTGTGGGGTCTGTTGGAGGTCCTAGGTCTCTTTCCCATGCCGAGACATACCCTAGCGATTGGGTGTTGGTTGCCCTGAGTAGTTGTGTGTATAATGCAGAAATCTGGCTTTTTTGTATGGGGGCATGGATACACGATTTTTCAAAGGTGGTGAGAGGGGTGATTCCAGCTTGTTTATATGTGGGAGTTTCCAATAGGTTTCTGATTTGTAGATATCGGAAGAAGTCTTGTGTGGTAAGTGGTCTGGTTTGTGGTAGGTCCTTGAACGCTATGATTTTTTGATTCTGGAAGAATTGGTATGTCCTGATTAGGTCATTGTCTTCATAGTGCGCAAAGTCTTTTGGGGTCATGCCTGGTGTAAAGTGTTCATTTCTTAAGATTGGTGTCAAGGGTGAGGGGTTGGACGTGAGTGCGTGTTTTAGGGAGAGTTTGTTCCAGAGGTTTATAGAGGTTTCGAGTGCTGGTGTGGTTCGTGGAGTGGGTGGTCGTGCTCCCTTTGGTACCCAGATATATAGGGAAGGGAAATCCTGACCGAACAGGTCGTGTTCAAGGTCTGCCCATCTCTTTAACCCAATGGGGGGCATGGAGTGCCTGGATTTGTGCCATTTGTGCTGCGTGAAAGTAGTGAAGAAAGTGGGGGAGGCCGAGGCCTCCTGCTCTTGTCGGGAGGTAAAGGATATCCCTCCTAATTCTTGCTCGCCTGTTGGCCCAAATAAAGCGATCGATTTGTGTTTGTAGTAGTTTAAAGTCTTTGGTAGTTATTTGGACTGGTAGTGTTTGGTATAGATATAAAAATCTCGGTAAGAGGTTCATCTTTATGCATGCTACCCTTCCGAGCCAGGAGATGGAGTGGGATTCCCAAATTTTAAGGTCGGCCTTCGCTCTTTGTAGTAGGGGGGAGTAGTTGAGTCGGTATGTCTGGGATACGTCTGCTGGTAGGTCAACCCCTAAATAGTGTATGTGCGTGGGATTGAAATGGAACGGGTAGTTAGTTTTTAGTGTATCGAGATCCTCTTGAGGGATTTGTATTGGCAGTGCTTCTGTTTTATCTAGGTTGAGGCGGTAGCCTGAGACCTGTGAGTAGTCGTTTATGGTGCGCAGTAGCGGTGGGAGCGAGTTAATTGGGTCTGTAATGGTGAGGAGTAGGTCATCTGCATATCCCGCCACTTTATATTCTTCCTGTCTAATGTGTACGCCCGCTATCGATGGATCCATGCGCAGGGCTTGTAGTAGGGGTTCCAGAGAGAGGGCAAATAGGAGCGGGGAGAGGGGACAGCCCTGTCTTGTTCCGTTAAAAATGCGGAATGATGGGGGTTGAGTGTTCGGAATTAAGAGGTTTGCCTCTGGTGCTGAGTATAAAGTGCTGAGTGCGTTAAGGATTGGGTCGGGGAACTGGAATTTGTGTAGGGTAGCGAAGAGAAAAGGCCATAGTAGTCGGTCAAATGCCTTTTCAGCGTCCAGGGATAGGAAAAGGGTAGGAATGCGTCGGTGCGAGGTCACCCATAGAAGGTCGAACGTCCGTCTAGTGTTATCATATGCCTGTCTGGAGGGTATAAAGCTGACTTGGTCCGGGTGTATGAGCTTATGTACGAGGGGGTTTATTCTGTCTGCGAGTAGCTTAGTGAGTAGCTTTATGTCTACGTTCAACAGTGAAATCGGTCTATAATGGCTTGGGTCTAAGTGGGTTTTGTTTGGTTTGGGGAGAAGGCAAACATTCGCTCTCAGTAAGTCGGGAGGTATGGGGTTTCCCTGCAGTATTGAATTGAACAGATTGCAGAGGTGTGGGAGGAGTGCGGCTGGGAATGTCTTGTGAAGCCGTCTGGTCCTGGGCTCTTGTTGGGTTTGGTGTTTTTGATGGCTTTGGCGATTTCTTCGATTGTGATTGGTTCGCTAATTTTGGAGATAGCTTCTGTCTTTAGGGCCGGTAAGGGTATCTGCCGTAGGTATGTGTCTATGGTTTGCTTGGTGTCTTCGGGATGTTGACGTAGGTTGGGGCTATGGTCGTATAGTGTGGAAAAGTACTTTTGGAAGACCTCACCGATTTTTGTTGGGGTAGAGTGTTTGGTGCCGTCCGGCGTTTGAATTACGTCTATTCGTTTGTGATTAGTCCTACGTTGTAATTTTCGGGCTAGTAAGGTGTCAGCTTTGTTGGATTTTTCATAGTAGGTCTGTTTCGTCCATTGTATGGCTTTGGTCGCGTCTTTAGTCATGAAGTTTTTAATTTTGGTTCGGCATTCTGTTATTTCATTGAGGATGTCTTGTGTGGGATTTCGTTTATGGCTTGTTTCTAGGGTCTTAAGGTTTGTGAGGGATTTTGCTAGGTCGGCTAGTTGGGCTTTCTTTTGGTGTGATGCAAGGCTTATGATTTTGCCTCTTATGACTGCCTTATGGGCTGCCCATAGTATGCCCGGTGAGGGTGCCGAGGGCATGTTTAGTGAGAAGTAGTTTGTTAATTCTGTTCGTATTGCTTCCGTTGTCTGTGGGTTATGTAGTAGCGTAGGGTTTAGTTTCCAGGACCATGGTCTGGCTACGTCGGGGACCTTAATTGTTATTGTGATGTCTGCGTGGTCTGACCATGTAATGTTGCCTATGTTGGCTGTTTGGATCATTTGTGTGAGGGAGGGTGAGATTAAAAAGAGGTCGATACGGGAGTATGAGTTGTGTGGGTGGGAGTAAAATGTGTAGTCCCTGGTGGTCGGGTGGAGCATGCGCCAGATGTCTACCAGTCTCTGTCGCAGCACGAAGTCTTGTAAAAGTTTGTCTATTTTGGGTACGGGATTTGGGGGTCTTCTCGTTCTGTGTCTGTCAATTGATGGTGACATCGTGGCATTGCAGTCTCTGCCTATTATTTTGAGGTGGCCTGGGGTTAGGGCTAGGTGGGCTTGAAAAGTGTCCCAGAACATTTTGTCCGGGGTGTTTGGGGCGTATAGTGAGGTGATAGCGTATAGGTTGTGCCCTGCTTGTCCCGTAAGCGTGATGAACATGCCTTGTGGGTCTTTTATAACTTGTCTGGTGCTAAGTAGGCACGTTTTTCGTATTAAGATAGCTACTCCGTTTTGTTTAGTTGTGGGTGAGTTTGCCATATGGCATTCCCGGTAGTGTCGATTTGTTAGGGGGAAGGGTTTGGTCTGTGTGAAATGGGTTTCTTGCAGCAGAATTATGTCCGCGTTTGAGCGGTTTGCCCATCTCATCAGTTGGTGTCTTTTTGCTGGGTTGTTAAGGCCCTTGCAGTTGATGGAGATGCATGTCAGTTTGGTGCTCATAGTGACTGGTTGTGGTTTTGATTAGGTCTGTTCCCGGGGCGCCGGCGGTGTTCAGTGGCCAGGTGTCTCGTTATTCGTATTGTGGTGATGGGGATGGGGGGGTCTTGGGTAGGCCTGGGGTAGAAGGGTTAGTTATGTGCTTGTTCGTTGGTCTCGTGCCAGGGAAGCTGGGCTCTTAGATGTAGGGGGTCAGGGGTTCGCCTTTTAGATGAGGTAGTGGGGAGGGGGGGGGATGGTTCCCGGTTTGGGTTTGTTTCCCTGGTCTTATACCTAGGTTGCCAAGCTCGGTGGGGGTGGAGGTTGAGGGGGTGTAGGTTCCCGCAATTGAGTGCGGTCCTTTTCCTTATCCCTCTTGAGGGTACTGGTGTCCTGGTGATGGGGAGCACCAATGGTTCCCCAAAGGGGGGGGTGTTGTGATGAGGTCGTATGTGGTGGGTTGGAGCTGTCTGGAGGGGAGATAAGCCCTAGCTCCCATCCACTCCGAGCCGTGTGTGTGTTACCTGAGGTCTGGTGTGTTGTCGGGTCGCTAGGTGCCGACTGCTTGGTGTCGTTAGAGGGGGAGGGCCACAATTGGGTCCTAGATGTATAGGTGGTAGGGCTTTCCGGTATCTGTGAAGAGGATGTGCAGGTTATTGATTGTCGATTGTCGCTATCCTGTATAGTTTGTGCTTGGGTCTATGGGGGCCTGTGTAAGCCGGAGTTAGGGGACCAACGGTATGGTATCAGTAAGATGTCCTGGCGGTAAGCCGTCTGTACTGCCTCTGGATGTTAACGGGTGTGAGGGTTAGTTTGCTATAGGGGAGGGTACCTTTATATGCGCGGTGTTTCTCTCTCTTTTTTCCCTTTTTTTTCTTTTTCCCTTTCCTCTCCTTTTCCTTCTTCTCTCATTCCATTTTTTCCTTTTTTTCCCTTTTTCTTCCCTTCCCTTTTTCTTTTCTTTTTTTCCTTCTTTTTCTTTTCCCCTTCCCTTCTTTCTTTCCTTCTTTTTCTCTTTCTTTGTTTTTGGGTCACCTTTCCCTCCCTTTCCTTTCCTCGATTCGTCCCCTCCTTGCCCTTCAATTGCCCTTTTGGGTGACAGTAGGGGTAACCGCCTAATCCCCGGTGTGTCAGGTTTACCTTAGTTCTCAGGGTGTAATGGCCTATCTCGTGTTTTGTTTCATCTTATTCTGTTTTTTCCCCCTTGTGTGTGTAGGAAAACAGTGGTGGTAGTAAGATTACGATCATACGTTTTATCCTTATTACATCAGGGTCATTTGACATTTCAGAGTTTTACTCCTTTCTTTAGCTAAACACATAAAATAATCAGATTAAAAAAAAAAAAACATTCCTGTATGTGGAGAGCTTATACGACAATAGTAATAATGGTGAAGTTAAACATTTTGTCTTGGGTACAGCAAGGTTTGGTGTCTCCCTATCCCTCTTGTCCCTTTTCCCTCCCTCCCTTCCTCTTTCCGTGTTGGGGGTCTGGTGGCTGCCCGGGCCAGGGCGTAAGAAAAGTTTGTCTGCCGAGTGGTTGGGTTGGGCCTTTCCCTCCGGGGGTGAATAGTGTGCAACCTGGGCCTAAAGGCTGTGCCGGTCGGGCCGGTACCCCCAAAGTGTTTATTACTTTACCTCCAGAGGGGGACAAGGGTGCCTTATGGGGTGGGTGTTTTATGCCCCGGCCTGTAGTTCGGACTGGTCTTTATATAAGGTCATTAATGGTCAACCCTCCCCATAAACATTATAACAGAAACATGTATAAACGTTTGAACATTAGAACATTTCAGGGCATACAGGCCTGAGTTATCGTTTGGTTTTCTGCGGTGGTGTCCGCCAATCAGAGTGAGAGTCCAGCAGCTACCATGGCCGGTTTCAGGTCATTGGCGCCTGGTTGGCAGTCCCGGTTGTTGGAGGGGGTCTCTTCTTAGCATGTTGTCGGGGTATTGGTTGGTTGTGGTCCTCCCTGAGTTCGTTGTTGTTACGTCAGTCCCTCGCTGGAATTCCCATGGTAAGCTGGAGCCCCAATGTTGCTGCAAATTCTTCCATTTCGGCCGGGTGGTGTAATGTGTGGTCTTGGTCTCCTATGTGGACTTGTAGTTTGAAGGGGTGGCCCCACCTGTATCTCATTCCTTTTTGTGCCAGCACTGTGGTGAGGGGTTTTAGGTCCCTCCGTTTCTTGAGTGTAGTTGGAGCTAGGTCCTGGAAGAAGGCTAACGTATGGGGCCCATGTTTTGGTTGTGTGGTCCTGGCTGCTGCCATAAGTTTGTCCTTGGTGGCAAAGTGTAATAGGCGGACAATTATGTCTCTTGGGACTGATGGGTTAAGGGCCCGTGGCCGCAGGGCCCTGTGCGCCCTGTCTATTTCCCTCTCCTGGTCTGAGGAGTTTGGGAGTAGGGACCGGAATATTTCCTGTAGCGTGGGCAATATGGCGTCCGCGTCCACTGATTCCGGCATGCCTCTTATCCTTATGTTATTTCTGCGCGAGTGGTTGTTTAAGTCTTCTAGGCTATCTTCTAGAAGTTGAACTTTATCGCTTAGATAGAAAATATCTTGGCTGTGCTGGGTCGTGGTTGCTTTAATTTGTGTTATGGCAGTTTCCGCTTGTGATGTGCGGTTGTTCAGGGTCTCGATTTCTCCTTTGAGGCCTGATATGTGCCGCTCCAGTTCTGCGGCCGTGTGTCTTTATATCCGCCGAGGCGGCCAGTAACATCTGGTGAAGGTCGGTTTTGGTTAGGGGTTCTTGTGTACCTGGATAAGTGGTTGTTTCTCTGTCTGGAGCCTCACTGTCGTCTGAGTCTGCTCCGGATTCGTGGGCCTCCTGGCTTAAAGATGGCCGCCCATGATCCCTGATGGCTCGGAATATGGATGCCACCGATAGTGGGGTTTCCTTTTTTTTTTTGTTTCCCCCCATTGTGATGTTGAGTGGGAGGCTGTGTGGGTGTATTAGAGCCCGTTTGTGCGGCTGGATGCCCGGGAAAAGGTGTCGATGTTGGCGGATTCAGGCTCGTGGACGGGAGAGCTCAGGCTTCACACGTCCTGCTCCATTGGTGTTCAGGCTCCGCCCCGTAAAATTTCTTTTAACAACTGTCTATGTAAGATATTGCTGTTTTGTCTTATTTAATGCGCCAACTATTCATTCTGGGGGGAATGCCTGAGCTCTTGACCTTTTGTTTGATTTTGGGGTATTATACTCAACTTTGGGGGTTGCCAATTCCTCTGTTTACCTTGGGTCAGGAGATCCTGGGCCAGCTGATTGCTGACTCACTCGAGTGTTATCCTACACTGTGAGCCCGGGAGCTCTGCTGCGGCCAACTGAAGATGGGGCTGAAGGGGAAGCAGCCAATCCCCTTGTGCTTCAACCCAGGGCTTGTGGCACCCTCTCCCCCCACCCCTGGACCGGCAGGGGTCATCCCGGTCACCTCAGAGCAGACCTGAGCAAATGTACCCGCACTTACCATGCCGACAAAGTCGCTGTGCAGGACCCCCGACACCAAAATGGTGGACTCCTTTTCCTCGAAGTCCCATGCCAAGAGCTTGAAGCAGAGGGTCTTCTGTGATTTATATGATGGATTTCATGCAGAGGCTGGATGCTATCTCTCGGTGCCACCGAGGTCATCAAGCACAAGCGAGACAGGAGAATCAAGCGACAAGAGGTGAAGGGGCCTACTCAGGGCAATACTGACATAGTGACGAGCACACAACCTACTGCTCACCCTCCCAAGCCGAGAGCCACAAGATTACCTGCGACAAGTGAAGAATGCAATCACAATCCTCAAACCATCCTCTGCAGGGGAAAGACGTGGACTGCTGTAGTACCCAAGTCTGTGGTATATGGATGCTAGCCCTCACACAGGCCTGTGGCTGAGGGGTTCCTGATTCTGTAAAGATGTCCCGCTGGATGGGATAGTCATGCAGTTGGCTGATCCTGAAAGGGGACTGCTACATAAGCCTTTTGCCACTTGATAATA